TTAAACCCATAAAGAAGTTGATAAAAAAAGGGAATTGTGATCAATGTGACATATGCAAATGGAAAGTACTAAGCCAACATTATCACCGTAATGGCAGATCTCTTCTATGAGAATACTGTAGGTCAAATATTGTCAGCTCAATTAAACCTTTTTAATTTTTTGTTTTTATTTATTTTATATAGCGCCAGTGCTCAAGGACACTTAACAAACAAAGAGAACAAGAAAAGCAATAACCTTAAGAAGGTAGTGAAAATAGGAGACGAATAATACATAACAAGTATGACATAAATAAGAACAAGTGATGAAACTCATTCTGTCTTTCAATGAGTGCTTATGTGCATTTAGGAGAACTAGGCAGCACACTCAGGGCTGCAAGATGGATTTAATTTAGTATTCTTCTTATTAAAATATATCTGAATGAGGATCAAATGACTAAGTTGGTCTTTAAGAATGAAAACCAACCTGTTTGTTCCTGCAGATCTTCCTGTTTGACTGTGAATGTTTCTTCAATCTTCACATCTTCACTCTCCTCTTTAATAAACAACATCTTTATAACAGTGTGGAGATCAGTCACTTCAGCAGTTTGTCTCTGCGTTTGGACACTTTATCCTGTTTAAAAAAATAAAAACATTAAAAACGTCCTGATTAAAATAAATAAAACAATGAACAGAATCAAAATAACTTCTCTTCATTACTTGCTTTAACAGTTTCATATGAGAGTCATTAACAAAAATAAATCAGGTAAGTCTGAGCAAGACACAATGAGCTGATTAAAACTAGTACTCCATTTCTTATATATAGTGATTTGTCCTTAGAATGGAATGACATTATGCTTTTTAATAAATTAAACCTTAATTAAAACACTTATTACTCACATTTCAGTTGCTTTATTCAAACAATAGCCCTAATTACTGTGAGTAAATAGTACTTCGTTGTAAAAAGGGTCAAAATAATGCCAACAGCAGGTTCATAATATAGCATCGGATGAAAACCCTGAAACTTTATTCAATCGCTTTATATTTATGTAAAGGTTTTAAAAACAAACCTTTCTCCAGCTGAATCAAGCGCAAGAGCGGCGCAACCTAATGACGTCACACGCCACGCCAAAATAAAAGTCTTTTGTTTTTTGCCACTTACTGTTGCAGTCATGACTTGTTCAAACATTTCTCTCCCTAGTTTTCTACTTGCTCTCTCTCTCTCTCTCTCTCTCTCTCTTACACACACACGCACACACAATCACACAGATGTTCAGTATTTGAAGTTGATCAAAACATTTAATCTAAACATTTTAAAACAACTTAAAGAGGTCATTATCACTAAGTGCCTTTGAGACATCAAAATAAAACAAATAAATAAAGTTTAAGACTTTTTAATTTAACCACATAGTTGTTGTATTATTTAGACATTAGACTGTAAAAAATGAATGTTGGTCAAGCTCCTGCACTTTTTACAATTAATCTACTAACAGAAAAACAGCAAACAAACCTCAAATTGTGTCATCACTGTCAAGGACAAATTTAAAGTATATCTTCATTTCAGTGTGATTAATAAATGTGTATTTTCAGAAAGGTCATGTGTCCCTTTACAAACCCAACTTTATAGATTATTTTTAAAAAAAAAAACCATTCGTAATAATGAAATATTGGACAAAACATTAATTTTCAGATAAAATATGCAATCGTTGCACATAATTTTTAAAATAAAAATCCAAGATTTAAAATATTTAGTCAAACTTTCAAACATTATTAACTGGCCCTTATTGGTTAATTAAGACATCATACAAGATGTTTTGCTGAGGTTACAAATAATTTGTTCATTTTCATAAAATAAAATTTGTGTGACATTCAGCAACTGTGAGACGGCATTCTTACTACTTGTTTTAATGTTTTTTGTGGCAGTTTATCAATACTGCCTAGAATACAGGATACAGCAGTAATTCTATTAATATTAAACATTGTTCATGTATTTTTCCTTTTTAATTTAACAACTGCATGTGTAAACTTGCTGTTGTTAAAAAGTAAAAAAATTATCAAACTTTTTATTATATATTTCACAACATTTAATACATACAGTGCACGTCTAATATTATAAGCAAACAGTATAAAACAAAGTATAGATTTTATTACACACACACACACACACACACACACACATATATATATATATATATATATAGG